CTTCTAGTCCCTTGTATTAATTTAACCAGGTTTATCATTTATTTTGAAGTTTTATTTTTTAAAGAAAAAGTGCTTTTAAAATTTAAAAAAATTATTCTTCTCACATATATTACATTCCTATCACAGTTTCCCCTTACTCCCCTCAACCCAGCCTCTCCCCCACCATCTTCCCTACCTCAGATCCATCTGTCCTCTGACTTCCCTCAGAGAAGAGCAGGATTCCCAGGGACATCAACCAAACATGGCATAATATGTTAGAGTAAGACCAGGTACATACCATCATATCAAGGCTGGATGAGGTAACCCAGTAGGAAGAAAAGGGTCCCATAAGTAGGCAAAAGAGTCAGCGACTGCCCCTGCTCCCACTGTTAGGAGTTCCATAAGAACACCAAGCTACTCAGCCATAACATATATGCAGAGGATCTAGGTCAGAACCCTCCAGGCTCCCTGATCTTTGTGAGCCCCCATGAGTCCTGGTCAGTTTATTCTGTGGTCCATGTTTCTGTGGTGTCCCTGACCCCTTAGGTTCCTCTGATCCTTCTTGCCTCTCCTCCACAAGACTCCCCAATCTCCACCTAATGTTTGGCTGTGGAGCTCTGCATCTGTTCCCATCAGTTGCTGGATGAAGTCCCTCTGATCTCTTTGATGAGGATTCTGCTAGGCCCTGCTCCAGTTCCAATCATTTGTCCCAGTATTCTGCCTACCCCTCAAGTTGATCCCTCCTGTTCCCAACCCCACCTGTCCCAAGTCCATCCATAAAATCTTTTTTATTTCCCCTTCCCAGGGAGATCCTTGCATCCCTCCTTAATCCCTCCTTGTTACTTATCCTCTCTGGGTCTGTGGACTATAGCATAGCTATCTTTTACTTTACAGGTAATAAACACTTGTAAGTGAGGACATACCATGTTTGTCTTTCTGAGTCTGGGTTACCTCACTCAGAATGATTTTTTTTTTCAAGTTCCATCCATTTGCCTGCAAATTTCATGATGTCATTGTTTTTAATAGCTGGGTAAATACTCCATTGTGTAAATGTACCACATTTTCATTATTGATTCTTTGGCTGAGTGTAGCTGGAGAATTTCTCTCCAGCTCCTGCCGAGTCCCGCCAGTCCTGGAGCCCATTTATAAAATATACACACAGACTCTTATATTATTTAAACTGCTTGGCCATTAGCTCAGGCCTATCATTGTTTAGCTTTTACTCTTATATTTAGCCCATTTTTATTAATCTATACTTTGCCACGTGGCTCGTGGCTTATCGGTACCTTACAACTTCCTTGTCCTGGTGGCGGCTACAGGCAATCTCTCACTTCCCTTCCTGTTTCCTCAGTTCTCCTCTCTTTTAGTCCCACCTATACTTCCTGTCTGGCTATTGGCCAATCAGTGTTTATTTATAGGAGCAATATCCACAGCAGCTGAGGGACATTTAGATTGTTTCCATTTTCTGGCTATTATGAATAAAGCTACTATGAACATAGTTGAGCAAGTGTTCTTGTGATAGAATGGAGCATCCTTTGGGTTTGTGCCCAGGAGTGGTATAGCTGGGTCTTGAGGTAGATTGATTCCCAATTTTCTGAGAATTTCCCAGTTTTCTTTGTTGAATCTTTGTGTGTTTGGGTATCAGGGTGACTGTGGCCTTATAAAATGAATTTAGAAATGTTGCTTCTGTTTTTATTGTGTGGAATAATTGAGGAATATTGGTATTAGCTCTTCTTTGAAAGTCTGGTAGAATTCTAAGCTAAAACTATCTTTTTTGTTGTTGTTGTTAGGAGATTTTTAATGAATCCTTCTCTTTCCTTAGGGATAATAGGTCTATTTAAATTGTGTATCTGATTTTGATTTAATTTTGGTAAGTGGTATCTGTAAGCATTGCAGCTTGGATGGAAAGGTGTCCTGGCAGCTGGAAGCCAAGGAATACCACAAAGTCACACTATACAACAAATCTTACACAAGAGATTTATTGGGAAGGAAAAAAACCAGGATGGTGACTGGCTGCCTCTGCTCGAGGAGGAAAACAGCAGCAAACTGAACAGGATAGAGGGCTTATATAGTGCTTCTTGGGAAGGAGGTGGAACTTTTCAGAGTGGAGCTTTCCAGGAGAGTGATTGGTGGGATTTCATATCCAGAGATTGGGTGTTTTGCTCTGTAAGGTGGGTGCAGGGTCCAGCAGTTGGGGCAGTTAGAGTATTATGTGGGTGGAACCTGGCTTCTGGGAAGTCCTCAGGCAGAGGCCTGGCTGGAGGGGCTACAGTATCTATCCAGGAAACTGTCCCTTTCTTTTAGATTTTCCAATTTTATGGAGTACATGAAAGGTCTGATAAACTGATGGCAGCGCTGGTTACCACATGGAAAGGTCATGGTCACGGCAGAACCCAGTGTTAGTTTTCAGAGCTTTATTAGGAGGGAAAGTGGGAGGGTGGAGAGGAGAGCCAGGTCTGTAGGAAAGCACTTGTGGAGGGCAGAGAGAGAAAGATGGTAGTGGTGAGCAGAGCAGAGAGAGAGGATGGGGTCTGTGTCTGGCTTTTAAGGGCTCCCAGTACAGAGCTACCCCACACATTTGCTGATGCTGATCGTGTGACCATGCCTCGCACTCACGTAGTCACCAGCACATACTGATAATGTAAGATGCAAGACCTTTTGCTTAACTCCTGAACTGCGCATGTGCAGTCATGTAGCTGGAGTGAGGGTAGAATTCTACAGTACAGGTTTTGAAATATGACCTAAATTCTCTGAATTTCCTCTGTATCTGTTGTTATATCCCCATTTTCACATCTGATTTTGTTGATTTGGATATTCTTTCTCTGCCATTTACTTAGTTTCAATAAGGATTTGTCTACCTTGTTGATTTTCTCAAAGAACCAACTCCTTGTTTCATTGATTCTTTGTATTGTTCTCTTTGTTTCTATTTTATTAATTTCAGCCCTCAGATTGTTTTCTCCAGTCTACTCCTCTTGGGTTTGTTTGCTTCTTTTGTTCAGGAGCTTTCAGGTATGCTGTTAAGTTGCAAGTATGATATCAATGCAGTTTCTTTATGAAGGCACTTAGTGCTATGAACTTTCCTATTAGTACCCCTTCCATTGTATCCCATGAGTTTGGGTATGCTATGCATTCATTTTTATTGAATTCTAGGAAGTCTTTAATTTCTTTATTTCTGCCTTGGCACAGTAGTCAGTCAGTAGGGAGTTGTTCATTTTTCATGAATTTGCAGGCTTTCTGTAGTTTCTGTTGTTGAAATCCAACTTTAATCCATGGTGGTCTGATAGGATGCTGGAGGTTATTTCAGTTTCTGTTGAGACTTTTTTTTTTTTTTTTTAAACCAAGTATGTGGTCAGTTTTGGAGAATGTTCTGGTGAGGTGCTGAGAGGAAGGTGTCTTTTTTGGGGGGGGGGGCGCAGTGAAATGTTTTGTAGACATTTGTTAGGTTTGATTTATGTCTGTTAGCTCCATTATTTCTCTGTTTAGTTTTTTGTCTGGATGACCTATCCATTGGCGATAATGGGGTATTGAAGTCTCCTACTATTAATGTGTGAGGTTCGATGTGTAATTTAAGCTTTAGCAATGTTTCTTTACAAATTTGGGTACTCTTGCATTTGGGGCATTGATGTTAATAATCCTGGTGATTTGTCTTTTGACGAGTATGGAATTTTCTTCTCCATCTCTTGTTTAATTTTAGTTTGAAGTCTATTTTGTTAGATATTAGACTAGCTACAACAGCTTGCTTCTTAGGTCCATTTGCTTGGAACATCTTTTTCCAAACCTTTATTCTGAGATAATGTCTGTCTTTGATGTTGAGGTGTGTTTCTTTTATGCAGCAGAACTGTCTCCAGTTCAGCTATCACAGCCGTGCTAAACAGCTTCAGGTGTCTGGGACACCTTCAGGGCAGAGCTCTTATCTTGAGTAGCTCTGAGGTGTCCGGGATACCTCACCCTCTAGGGTAGAACTGTCTCCAGTTCTGCCATCACTGCTGTGCTAAACTGCTTCAGGTGTCTGGGACACCTTCAGGGCAGAGCTCTTGTAGTCCTAAGTAGCTCTGAGGTGTCCAGGATACCTTGCCCTCTAGGGGTGAACTGTCTCCTTGCAGTTTCAGCGATCAATTTACTAACATTTTGGTGCCGAAACCCAGGACACCAAACACTGAGTTTTTGCAGTTTACTAACATTTGGTGCTGAAACCCGGGACACCAAACCCAGAGCTTTTGCAGTTTACTTACACCTACTCTTGAGTTTTAATGTGGGAATGATTAGAAATGAAAAATTGAGGGTAGGAGACTAACAACCAGGCACATGTTCAAGGGGTCCATACTAGCTGGCTGGGATCTCTAAGTAGTTGGCTGTGGAAGAAGATAAAGTGATTTTTGCAGTTTGCGGCTTACAATTATGTTCACCTCATGAAATTACTTAAAAGAATAGGATTGTTAACTTGTATTGTCATGCTTTATGAAGTCTTTGGAAATTAGTCATTCATAAACCAGAAGTGGCCTTTTCCCCTTTTTATGTTAAAATTATAGTATAGGGCTGAAAACTCTCTTTTGGGACGTATTTCAGTATTTACTTACTAGAGTGAAAATGATTCTGAGCATTCTGTATGCCTTCTTGCTGCAGTGAACTTAGGATGTAAGCATGCCAGTGTGTTTGTATATATCTAGTTCTAGACAAGAATAACAAGTCTGAAGACATTCATTTAGATTTTTAACCTGATTGAACATATTGTATAAAATAAACTTTACAACCATGTGGATCAAAGAAAAATCTTTTTTTCCATAGGAAGTTACTTTCACTTTTTATTGTGTTAATTTTTACCAATTTCTACATCAATTACTTCTAGTAAGGAAAGATTTAAAAGAAACTTTGAGCATGCAGTTATCTTATTTTGTGCCAACTCTAGAATTACTTGTATCTCTCAAACTTGACTTTAATTGTCATGTGATATACTTCTATAACTTATTGATTGTAGAAGATGACACTATGTATTTTTAAAAGAATAACTTTTTTGTTGTTAGCTTTTTAGTTGGAGAAGGAGCCTACAGATGGGCAGTGGATCATGGGATACCCTCTTGCCCTCCTAGCATCATGACCACAAGTGAGTAAAACCCTCATGAGTTAAGCTGTGTGATCAACAAGCCTAAAGTGTTATATTACTTCTGTTCTGATGCATAGGTAGAACACTTTCATGTTGAAATATTTATAGGTAAAAGATAGGTCAAGTTTACTGATCCCCCCTCCCCCCATCACTTTTTTATTCTGGAGGTTTACTCTTTGCTTTTTGTTTTGTGGCCGTCCTATTCTGTAACCTAGGTTGGCCTGGAACTTACTATATAACTCTGACTAGCCCTGAACTAGTAGAAGTCCTCATAAGTGCTAGGATTTTAGGTGTGAATCGCTGTGCCAGGTTTGTGAAGTATTCCTGAAGTACCATTTTTAGGTTACTTAGTGTAATTGTGAGTAGTATAACCATGGTGTTCTCTCTAGGGGACATTGGGAGGAAGGAAAGGGAGGATGTTTAACTCCCAAAGGTCGCCTGAAACTTACTGTGGAGCTCTTGTGGTTGGAATGAGAAGGACTCCCATAGGTGGATATATTTGAATGTTTGGACTAGGGGTTGTGGCCTTACTTTAGGAGGTCTGTCACTGGGAGTGGGTTTTGAGGTTTCAGAGTCCCGTGCCAGGCTCAGTTTTGCTCTCTCTTGGCCTCTATCCTGCTGGCCAGATGTAAGTTCTCAGCTCCTACTCCAGCGCCATGCAAGGTTGCTGCCAAAGTTTCCACCATGATGGCCATGGACCAGGAACCCTCGAAACTGTAGGAAAGCCCCCAATTAAATCTTTTCTTCTGAGCTGGGCATGGTGGCATACCTTTAATCCCAGTGGAGGCAGAGGCAGGTGGATGGATCTACATGAGTTCAAGGCCAACCTGGTCTATAGAGCAAGTTCCAGGACAGCCAGGGATACACAGAGAAATCCTGTCTCAAAAAACTGGAGAAAAAAAAAATCTTCTGTAAGTTGTCTTAGTTATGGTGTCTCGTAGCTACAATAGAACAGCTATAGAACTAAATATAGAGCTGGATATACAAACTGCAGTAGAGCTAAAGCAGTAGCCCATGCTGGCCCCAAACTTGATTCTTCTATCTCTATGGCCCAGTTGCTGAGATTACAGGCATGGGGCACTATGACTGAACCTGAGGAATCAGCAACAAAATTTTTAGGTCTAAAATGTATGAAAAAGACACGTGGGTTAAAACTGAGAAACATCATAAGTAATACAAAGGGATACATAGTTTTGCTAAGTTCAGAACCACAGCATACAAGTAATACCCCAATAGAAAAATGGTCAAGTCATAGTAGGTAATAGGGAAATGGAAATTAAATGAGTACATGCTAAATTTATACTCTTAATTTATGGAAGAGTTAAAAAGATACTACAGTGTTCCTGGTGAGCCCATGAAATGAACAGAAGACACAGACAGATTTTGGAGGATGACTAAATCATGTATCTCAAAAGTCTTAAGCTCATTTACTAGTAATCTGTCATTGGAGAGAGAGAAAGAGACAGAGACAGACAGACCAGGGTGGGTGAGAGATGGAGATGTATGTGTGAATGTGTGTATATATATATACACACACACACATACTGATTTAAGCAGATTGGTTACCAGTGAGCATTTAGACCATAAAAACAACCAGAGAAACATCCTATGTCCAATCCAGAGGAATTGGGGTAAAGTACTATATGTTCTTATAGTAAAGATGTTACAAAATAACTAGAAATCCTGTGAAAACTCATTTCTGATAGTAATTAAATCTTACGTTTTTGAAAGGAGTGAAAAATGGAGTTACAAATTAAAAAACAAAAAACATGTCATTCATTTTAGCTTGGGATTTTCTTTAACATTTCTGATAGTGTGTGTGGGTCTCACTATGTAGCTCTGGCTGTCCTGGAACTGTAGGTCAGGTTGGCCTTGAACTCACAGAGATCCACCTGCCTTTGCCTTCCAGTGCTGCGATTAAAGGAGTGTGTCTCTATGCCCAGCATGTGCAAAAGGTTCTCAATTTTCATTCTCTAGAAAAGATTTTACCTTTACTTTAAAAATATAATTTTAATTAGATTAAGACTTCTAGGTTTATATTTTAATGTGTTGTCTCATTTTTTAATTTTTTAAATTAATTTTTAATTAAATTAAAAATATCCATATCATAAATTAGTATCTTAAACATTTTATTTCCTTTGTTTGTTTATGTATTTACTTACTGTGTGCTTGTGACTGTATGGGAGCGTGCTTGCCACAGTCCATATGTGGAGTGCAGAGGACAGCTTGGAGGATGGTGGCTCTCTGCTTCAACAGTGTGACTCCTGGCTCTCAAACTCAGGTGATCAGGTGGCCACTGAGCACCTCCCCTGCTGTTTTAGCTATCTGCAGTTAAGTACATGCGTATGTAGTGTTGTGCAGCTGCACTGTTCTCCACTGCCCTAACTGTTTGTGATCCCAAACAGAATTTCTAAACTGTTTGCTTGTTCCCCTCCTGTTAGTTGCTTGTGATCCTGCTTTTACTTCCTATCTTTATGACTTTACCTCACCGTATATAATTGAAGTAAAATTGATCCTTTATGTCCCATCTCGGTGAATATAATTCCTTTAGCGGGGCGGTGGTGGCGCACGCCTTTAATCCCAGCACTCGGGAGGCAGAGCCAGGCGGATCTCTGAGTTCGAGGCCAGCCTGGTCTACACATTGAGATCAAGGACAGGCACCAAAACTACACAGAGAAACCCTGTCACAAACAAACAAACAAACAAACAAACAAACAAACAAGTTACATTGACTTGGGATTGAATTATTTCCTAAAGAAATTCAATTACTGTTTATTAACAGTTACCTATAACAATGTAATTTTTCTCTCTCTCTGCTTTTCAGAATAATTCTTTATATTTGTTTGTTCTTAGTGTAACCATGGTATGCCTAGGTGTGGTTTTCTCTGTGCATAGTCTGCTAGATCTTTGGATTAGTCTTACTTTCTTTTAAAAAGTTTATTCATGGCCGGGCGGTGGTGGCGCACGCCTTTAATCCCAGCACTCGGGAGGCAGAGCCAGGCGGATCTCTGTGAGTTCGAGGCCAGCCTGGGCTACCAAGTGAGTTCCAGGAAAGGCGCAAAGCTACATAGAGAAACCCTGTCTCGAAAAACCAAAAAAAAAAAAAGTTTATTCATGGTGGGTAATACTATTGGCATGTAGGTTTGTCACTGCTCTAGAGGCAGTGGGACCTGGGAGAATGGAGCCGATGAACCAGGCCAACTAAAGTCTCATGCAACTTTATTCAGAGCCTCAGTTTATGCTCAGAGGATTAAGAAAGGTCACGTGAGTAAAGTTCTCATGTGTTCACGCTGTACACAATCACTAGGATAAACCACACATGACAAAAACATATTTTTCTAAGAGGCATATAAAAGATAATTTGAGCATTTGATTGAATAGCAACAACAAGCAATAATGAGTAATTTGAAGTAAACTCACTCCTATCTGCTACACCTGGGAGGAGCATGAAAACACATTCCAAGAACAATTCTGTGCTTTGAAGAAACAGAGGTCACAAGACTCTTGTCTTGTTTTCTTGGAATATTCTCACAATTACTCAGAATTCTCACTCGACTCCATTCCTGAACTTGTCTGACATAGGTTGGTTTAGTGTAATTGACTCCTTCATTACCAAGACATAGAAGCTGTGCTTTCTAAGTATATGGTTTTAATAAATACAGTGTGAATAATAATGATGTTGATGGTAATAATAACTATAATGTATCAGTTATTTGTTTCATTGCCTGACAAAATACCAGCCAAAGCACATTTTGGAGGGAAAGGTTTATTTTGGCCTACCGTTCCATGGTTCATAGTATATCATGGCATAGAAGGTATGATAGCAGGAACAGGAGGTGTCTGGTCATATTGTCACCCAGGTTAGGAAGCAGAGATTAATGAATGCTTATGTTTAGGTTGCTTTTTCCTTATTCAGTCCATAATTTCAGTCCATGGAATGGTGCTACCCAAATCTAAGCTGGATCTTTCTATTTCATTTAATGTAATCTATATGGCCCCTCACAGACATGCCCATAGTGTTTTTTATAGTGATTCTAAGTTCCATCAAGTTGACAATAAAGATTAATTACAAACAATAGCAATAATTGATATGATAGGAAGTATTGGCAAATACAGTAAATATATATTATTGAAGTGTATTATTTAAACATTTTTTAAAATGAAAATCACGACATATCTTTATATATTTATGCAGTAGTTTGTGATGCTTTGATTCTGTATGCATTGTGTGATGGTATGATCAGGCTAATTAGCTTATCTGTTGTGTGTGTGTGTGTGTGTGTGTGTGTGTGTGTGTGTGTGTGTGTGTGTGTATGGTGCTTGCAGTGGGTTTTCTAGCAATGTCTCAATTAGGATGCCACTGTTAGAGCTGAGCTTCAAGAACACTGGTGTCTTCAAATAGGTCTTTCATGTTGACTTTTCATGATGCCACTCACTTCCTCCTACCTTCACCCCAGCAGCCAGTAATATACTATCCATTAGTATAATTTTGTCGCCTTAAGAGTGCTACGTAGTTCCACCAAGTCAAGGCACTTGCTGCCAAGCCTGATGACCTGAGTTTGATTATATGGACTCACATGGGGGAAGGAGAGAACCAACTCCTGAAATTGGTTCTCTGACCTCAATATACATGTCATAACATGTACATACTATTGTGTATACATAATGTTATATGTAAATTAGCTTTTGCTAATTTTTATGTGTTTTCTAGTGTTTGTTCCTCATTTCTTTTATTTATCAATTCCTTTAACATTTATTTGGTTTTGTTTTCTTCAATAATGAAGTGATTTTTAATCTCATTTTCTAAACTAGAGATAGAGTTTTTGCTAATTTCTTTGTGGTTGTGGTTACAATGAAGATTAAATTTAATATTTCAAGATTATAGCTTAATTTGAATTTATGCTATCTTAATGGGATCATATTAATAAGAAGTTTTTTTGTTATGCACCTCTGTCGTCATTCCCTTTTAGTTACTAATGTCACAAAATTTCTTAATAGCCAGAGATAGTTTAGCAAATACAGTGGCTATCACCAAGACTGATAGCCTGACAACCCAAGTTCAGTCTCAGACACACATGTTGCAAAAGAATTGATTCCTGAAAGTTGTCATGACATGTGCACCAACACATACATACTCGGTTAAATGTAAAAATCATGCACATATAGAATAAGCTTTTCCATGTCTTAGTTCTAAAGTGATGTAGAAAATAAACAATTAGAAGCAAAAATTAGAATAGTAATAGTTTTTATAATTGTGCATTTACCTTATAATCAGCTCTTTATTGTTGGCTGTGTCTTTTATGTTGTTGCCTGGCATCCTTTTGTTTCTTTGCCTGATGATTCCCTTTAGTCTTTCCTGTAGGGTATGTCTAGTGGTGATCAACTGTGTCTGTTTTCCATACTCTGAGACTATCTTAATCTAGTCCTCATATTTGAAACGTAGCTAGTCAGATTTGGGATTCATTGTTCACACCCCTTTTTCTTTCAGTGCTGTGAACATGTGAATCCAAAACTTGTAGCTTCAAAGGTTTGGATGAGAAATCTACTTATAATCCTTTACTATCTTTAGTGTATTGACTTTTAAAATCTCTGTCTTTGATAATTAAAAAGAAAATAAAAACATAAATTGACATAATGTTTATATGTATTTATGATATAGAATTTTATGCATGTTTCCACTTTGTAAGGATGAAATTAGGGTGAGCAGTGTGCTGGTCTCTGAGGACCTTAATCTTGTCAGAGCCGCTGATCTCCCAATTACTGCACTGTGTGTTTTCAGTTCTAAACCATAGGTTCCTTATTGTGCCATAAAGTTTCCTGTCTTTTGATATCTACTCCTTATCTAAATTCTCTTCCTTCTTACATTTCTTTCTTTCTTTCTTTCTTTCTTTCTTTCTTTCTTTCTTTCTTTCTTTCTTTCTTTTTTTTTTAAAGGAGCTCTGGTAAAGTTTTATTAAAGAAAAACTTTCCTGGTTTACTTTTCACCAGTCTGTTCTGGCATGCTTCTAATAATATCAGAATCACCTGGGTCAATGATAGCCAGTGTGCATACTCTGTAGTATTTTCCACATGCTGTACCCAATTCAATGTTATTGCCACTGTAGTGATGAACACCAGTTTTAGCCAACATGGCATAGTATTCTATTTCAGATTTCCTCAAAGCTGGACAGTTGTTGGCGAGGATAACCAATTTCTCTTTGCCCTGTCTGATCATCTTCAGAGTCTGTTTGTACCCCAGCACGTACTTTCCACTTTTCATAACAAGTTGGAGCCTAGAGTTGATCAACTCCAGAGACTTTTTCATCTTCTTTGTGGCCACCATCTTCCTGCCTTAAGTGCGGGACAGCCCCCAACCAAGACCAGTCGCCAAGATGGCCGGGGAGCGAGAAAGGGCCCTTCTTACATTTCTTAATCTTACTCTTCCTAGTCTGTACTGACCACTACTGTCTTTTATTGATGACTTGTTTAGCTTCCGCAAATGAACAAGAAAGAAAACATCTTGAATTTGTGTTTCTTTGCTTGCCTTATTTCATTAAACTGAATGTCTCCCATATCTACCCATGGTAATATTCCATTGTTTATATGTGCCACCTTTTTTTTTTTTAAACCTTTTATCCATTGATGAGTACCTTGGTGGATTTAATTTCTTGGGCTCTATGGCTGATGCTATAGTAAACACTGGAGTGCATTTATTTCTATGATATAATGATTTCTTTCCTTTGTATATATACTGTATTATAAGTAGGTTTGTTAGATTACATGGTAGTTATATTTTTAGAAGGAACTTTGCATATTTTCCATAATGACTGTTAATTTATGTTCTTACTGATAAGTGTTGGAGTTCCTCTCTCTTCTTCCTATTGACACTTGTTATTTCTGTTTCTTTGATAATAGCCTTTCAGCTTGGATGAGGTGACAGCTCATTGTACTTCTGATTTGCTTTATCCAAATGGTTAGTGATGCTATGTGTTGTTTCATATACTTGTGGGCCTTTTGTATGTTTTCTTTGAGAAATGCCTATTTAAGTAATTTGTCCATTTAAAAAACTGGATCATCTGTTTTTTGCTGTTGGACTTTTGAATTTGTTGTATGCTTTAGATATTGACTTCTCACATTCTCCGTGTTGTCTACCCAGTTGATGGCTCCCTTCCCCTGTAGATGCTTCTAAGTTTGAAGTTTGATATAATAAAACTTGTTTAATTCTCCTTTGTTGCCTATGCTTTTGTGCTCTTATCTTAAGGCTGGCTGATATCATTGCCTTCAGTGTGTGTGTGTGTGTGTGTGTGTGTGTGTGTTTGTGTGTGTGTGTGTGTGTGTGTTGCTGGGGACTGAATACTAGTGTCTTGAAGGTTTTCCATTGATTTAATGCTAATGTAGCAGTTTGAGTTCTTGCATACAGAGCTGTGGTTTTTTGAGAACAGATTTTTTTTTTTCACACATAATATATTCTCATGATGGTTTCTCCTTCCTCTACTCTTAGTTCCTCCCTAGCTCCCCTCCCATCCAGCTCCATTCCCTTTCTGTCTGTCATTAGAAAACAAACAGGCTTCTAAGGGATAATAAAATAATAAAATAAAATATAGTATAATAAGATAAAACAACAGCTAACACATAAGAATTGGACAAAACAAACAAATAGAAGGAAAAGGGCCCAAGAAAAGGTATGAGAAACAGATATAGATAGATATAGAGACCCACTCATTCCCATACTCAGGAATTCCATAAAAACACAATACTGGAAGCCATAATATATATACAAAGGACCGTATTTGTCTTTCTTGGTCTGGGTTACCTCACTCAGTATGATTTTTCCAGTTCTACTATTTACATGTGAATTTCATGCTGTGATGTATTTTGAATTGAGGTTTTTTTTTTTTTTTTTTTCCGAGACAGGGTTTCTCTGTGTAGCTTTGCGCCTTTCCTGGAACTCTCTCTGTAGCCCAGGCTGGCTTTGAACTCATAGATATCTGCCTGGCTCTGCCTCCCAAGTGCTGGGATTAAAGGTGTGCACCACCACCGCCCAGCGAATTTTGTTTTTTTATTCTCTGTATTTTTTGTACTTTTCCCCCAGCTTTATTCATTGGAGAATTGCAGTAGGTGTTCTTATTACCTTTTTTAAAAATTCAATTTCTAGGCTCTCTTATCTGTTTCTGTGTGTGTGTGTGTGTGTGTGTATTTACTAATTTTTTGTCACTAGCATCTTATTCTGGTTAATATGGTTTTGTAATGTATTTTTCAAGTGAGGGCATATGATGCCTGAAGCTTTGTTTTTGCTGAAGATTGCTAGAATGGATAGCAAGCTTATTCTTAGATATTTTACTTTAATGGTAATTGTAAATATAATTAACTTATTTATTTTTTACTTCACAGAAACAAATATTCTCTATAACTTACTTTAATAATTCTTTCATGGTATGAAATGCATAAGACAGTAGTTAACAAATAACATATAACAGATATATGTATGTATGTGTGTGTGTGTGTGTGCGTGATTTAAAATATTTTAAAAAATATTTTCGGTTGTGAGCCTAGCGTTTAATAGCTGAGCCACCTTCCTAGCCCAAAAATATGTTTTTCTATTGTCTATTTTAGAATAAGACTTACTTGATAAAACAGATAGTTGATTAGTTCTTGAGACTTCACCTAGTTATTACAGAAAAGAAAGACTTTTATTACACTAAAATTTTCTTTCACTTATAAATTCTATTATTCCCATGTGGCTTTCAGAATTCTTCCTGTGCAGTATGTGGTCACTGGTAAGCTGGGCAGCATAAAACACGTGTACATTTCACTTTATGGTCACTAACTCTTCAAAGATAATTAAACTAGGCCCTTTAAAGATACTAAACGTCTTAGGTCATGAAGATACTATAATGTCACAGTCAATTATGATAAAATCGAAAAGGTCAGATACTAGATGAGAGTGATGGTGGAGAGCTCTCAGTTGTTAAGAGCACCTGAAGCTCTTATGGGTGACTTTGGTTTTGTCCCAAGAGCAAGTTGTTTGTACACAACATACTTGCCGCCATTACTTGTTTTTAATTTTTTTCTTTTCTTACATTTTGTGTGTGTGTGTGTATCTGTCAGTCCATCTCTCCGTCTCCTCCTGTGTACCTGTGGGTGTCTGCATGCATGGTTGCATGCATATCATTGTGTGAGTGCATATCATGGTATGTATGTGGTGGTCAGAGGATCTGTCCTTCCACCATGTGGGGCCTGGGGATGGGACTTAGGCCATCAGGCTTGGTGGCAAAAAGGCCTTTACTTGCTAAGACATCTTGCTGGCCCTGCCACTGTTCATTTTATATCCTGCCTTGCTCTAGATCTCATCATTTCTAATGGTTGGGTGGAGTCTTAAGACCTTTCTGTATAAAGTCCTGTCATCTACACTCTAGGTGATCTGAGTTCCTCCTTTTGAATTTGATACTTCTTATTCCTTTCTTGTTTAATTTCTTTGCCTGTAATAGTATTTTGATAAGACAGATGTAAGGAGATATGTATCATGTTCCAGATCTTGGAGAAAGTTGTTAGCTATGAGCTTGCCACTCATTACAACCCTTACTGGGTTGAGGCATGTTGATGCTATGTCTAATCTTGTCAGGGTTTTTTATCGTGGAGGGTTGCTGGATGTTACTGAATGCTTTCATTTATGTGAATTGAGATCATGGGTTTTTGTTCTTTGTTCTCTTCATGTGATATCATACCTATATTGTTATGTTTGGTTGTTCTTACATCATTGGGATAAATCTTTCTTGACATTTTGGAACTGTGGCAGTTGGCATGCTACTGTTATGTTGGTAATTTTGTTATCTGTTCATCAGGGATGTTGATGTGTAGGTTATTATTATTGTGCCTTTGATTTTTGTTTTAGGGTATGCTGGCCTAGTAGAATGAGTTTGGTAGAGTTTCTTCTTTTTCAGTTTATATTTGGACTAGTTTGAGAAGAATTTAAACTCATTTCTCCTTGAAATATTTTGTAATTCATCAGTGAAACTCAAGTCATGGACCTTTCTTTGGTGGGAGACTCCTCCATATGTCCTATATGTTAAGGGACAAGCTCAATTCTCATGTATGCTGGACAAGTGCTTTACCACTGATCTACATACATCTTCAAACCATAGAGGGTACTCACCTACTGCCTCCATCTCATTGCTTGTTGTAGGCTGCTGTATATTTTTTCCGCTGTCTTGATCCAGTCTGGTGTATTGTGTATGCCCAGGGCTTATCTGTGTCATCAGATTTTCCAGTTTGCAGGCATATGATCATGGCAGTTTTTCTGGTTCTTTGCATTTTTGTGATACCACTTTGTAAGTCTCTCCTTTTTCACATCTAATTTAATTTTCTTCCTTTATTTAGCAAAAGGTTTGTTGATTTTATCTTTCAAAAAATCAGCTATCAATTTGATTATTAGTAATTTATTTCTAGTCTCTATTTCACTTACTTCTGCTCTGATATTCATGATTTCCTGGGATTTGGTTGTTTTCCTAGACTGGCTCTTTGACATAATAATTAACTGCTTCCAGTTGCTTTCATTGTACTTCATTTGGTGAATAAACAGGCTTTGGCATGCAGTGTTTCCATCTTCTTGAGAGACTTTACGAGTTCCTTTTTATTTCTTCAGTGACTTTCCCTCCCCCCCCCCCCCCCCCCCCCCCTTTGAGACAGGATTTCTCTGTGTAGCCCTTGCTGTCTTAGAGCTCACTCTGTAGACCAGACTGGCCTCAAACTCAGAGACCGTCTGCCTCTGCCCTCCGAGTGCTGGAATTAAAGGTGTGTGCCATTGCCACCTGGCTTTTTAGTGACCTATTGACTATTCCTGAGCATATTGTTTATTTTCATGTATTTGTTACTTTCTGTTTTTGCTTATTGATATCTAAATTTTGTTCTAGCATTTTATAGATTTGTGATAAGATTCTAGTTTTTAAAATCTTGAGACCTGTTTTGGTGCCTAATATATAGTCTAGGTTGGAGGAAGTCCCAGTGTTAATGGGTATGTGTATTCTGCATATGGTATATGAAGTTCCAGTTAATTTTTTTTTCTTTTTTAGGATGTTTCATTCTATAGCCCAGACTGGCCTGGAGCCCATAACAATTCTTTTTCTCAGCTTGTTGAGTGTTGTGATGATAAGTGTGAGCCCATACCAGGCTACTCAGTGATTTTTTTTTTTTTAATTGCCGTTCTGTCTGGATAGTCTGTGGCCAAACACCACAGAAGAAGAAACTTAAGGAGGAGGAATGTGTTCTGGTTACAGTTTTGAGTGGCACTGTCCACTGATCCACCGTCAAGAAGCAGAGAGACACAAAGATTGGGGCTCAGCTTGCTCTATTCTATTTAGTCAGTGCAGACCATGGAGTGGTCTACCAGTGTGCAGGGCTAGTCTTCCCTCCTCAGTTACACCTCTCCGAAAGTCTCCTCAGAGATATAGACAGGAGCTTTCCCTGGTGATCCTCTGTCCAGTCCAGCCGACAGTGTAGATTAAGCATCATGTACACTGAGGTCCCTTTTTTCTCCTCAGATCATACAGATAACATGAACTCTTCTCTACTTTCCTTCCTTTACCTCTAGAGACAGGTTGAGACTTGCAACCTTATTATAGTTTGCGGCAGCTTATTTTGCCTTTCCTGGGGGGTATCAACCTCTGGGAGTTCCTCCTTTTCTTGTAGCTCATCTCTAGTATACTGTGTAGTGCTCTGGTCCCAAATTTCATCTCTTATACCTATGCATTGAGATGGTCATGGATCACAAGGTGCCCCTGGACCTTGTCCACCTTCAGAACTCGGTTGTTTCTCTGACTTGATCTTTCTCTTTAAGTTTATAAACATGTGCTATTTGTTTTGTTTTCCAGTGTTGTCAGGGTATATTGGAAAGACTTTAAAATCAACAGTTCAACAGTCTTGAGTGCTTTTTCTCTGGGAAGACTATTCAGGATAATCTCACTTGCCTTCTTGCTTTACTAATTCTCAAGTGTTATTTTTGTTCTTCTCTTTATAGGATTCAGCTTAGCTGCATTTAAAAGGAACAAGAGGAAACTAGAACTGGCAGAAAAGGTGGAAACAGACTTCATTCAGCTAAAGAAAAGAAGACAATCAAGCGCAAAGGTCAGGAGGTGTCTGAAGTGTTGGCTGATGACCTGCCTTTAGAACAGTACAGTCCATTGGAACTAGAACGTATGCCATACATGGATTTGAAAGCAGGGTGAAGCTGGTGGGACTCAGTAAGGAAATGTACCTATCTCCAAGCCTGATACCCCAGCTCCTTCTCCAGAACCCACATGGTAGAAGGAGAGAACTGACTCCTGTAAGCTGTCATTTGACATTCACACGTATGTTGTGATATTCACTTGAGCATGCACACACATGCATGCATAATATATGTATAAAAATGTAATTTAAAAAGTAAAATTTAGGTTGGGTAGGGTGGCACACATCTTTAATCCCAGCACTCAGGAGGCTGAGGCAGGTGGATATCTGAGTTCAGGGCCAGCCTGGACTATAGAGCGAGTTCCAGGATAGCCATAGCTACTCAAAGAAAGCCTGTCTTGGAAAAACAAACAAACAAACAAACAAACAACAAAACAAAACAAAAGTAAAATTTGATTGTGAAAAACAAATGAAATTAATTTTAAAATGTAAACAAAACAAAATTAATTTTAATAATGTATATTTTCTTATTCAGTTGAAATATCTTTTGGAAATATCTCTTGAAATATAATCAGTGCAAAAATTAATAATGAGCTATTTTAAAGTTTTGTTGTGGGATGGCGAGATGGTTCAGTGTGTAAAGGCACTTGCTCCCAGGCCTGATGACCTGAGTTTGATCCCCAGCGCTCGCATTGTAGAAGGACAGAGCAGACTTTTGGGAGTTTTCCTTTGACCTCCACATGTATGCTGTGACATGTGTATCCAAACACATAGATACAAACAAACAAACAAATAAATATACAAATGAATGCATGTAATAAAATTAGCTGTTGAAAAAGTAAATTTACATATTTAGTTATTAGAATCATAGTTTGCAATGGCTGAAAATGTTTTAAAATAAAACTGAATTCAAATTGAAGAAAATAAGAAATTCAGCTTCTCATTTGCCCATTCTTTACTTCACTTGCTCAGTGGCCACAAGAATGCCTCATGACTATTATATTGTTTCTGTTCTTCAGTACTTGCTTTGGAGAGTAGAGTGAAGTTGGAAGCTACAGCATTCTTCTTCAGCCTGTGGCTTTAGGGTTCACTAGCACACAGCTCATGGTTGGTGTGTCAGGTCACATATTCCTTTGATCTACCTTGTCTGCATCATGGAGTTGTTCTTTAATATGTTTCATGAACTGGTTCATGCTGTCTATCAACGTTTTGTATGGTGGCAGTAAAGTAAAAAATAAACCATCTTTCATAATAATAGGTATTTTCTCAGTACATTCCTTCATAGGATAATTTATCAAATAATTTGGTCCAATTCTGCTTGTATGTCTCACAATAATAGGTTTTAGGAACCAAATGAACAAATTAATAAGTAGATTTTTGATGGAAGCTGGTGTAGTCTGGTTCTCCTATTTTGTGTTTCTGCGTCCTTTGTGATACCTGGGTAAACAAATTTATGACTTTCTGCCTTTTGAAAAAAATTTTGCTTATCTGGCTTGCCTGTCTGTAAGCTGAGTGAGGTTGATTATAGATAGGTCACAGGTCATAGAGTATGACTTTGTTTCAAAAACAAAATGCATATAGTCGATAGTTTCATCCATTTTCATAACTGTATGTACTCTTGCAGCCCAAGTCATATCAAGACACAGAACATTTCAGGTTTTGTTGTCCACCAGTTAACCCCTAACTTGGAGAGTAGCCATTATTCCATTATAACCCGCCATAGATGTTTCATGTTGCTGTTGTATGGAATGTGTTTTCTTCTGTTTACCTTCTTTCACAGAATTTTTTAGATATCCTGTTACTGATTCCTTAAAACAAGTAGGTAAAAATAAGAAACAACACTAAGTAGTATTTCTTAATGTATATACTTTAAGAAGAAATATACAGTTCTCCTGTTGGAGATTGGCTGTTTCTGGAAGTTTACTATTAGGAATAATGCTGCTGTGAAATGTTTACAGTTCCTTTTTTTGGTTATTAGTTTAGAATTTTGTGCATAGAAATATCATTGTGTTTTTTAGAGGCTGTTTTTAGCTGGTCATTACCAATTTAGATCACTCATTTTTTTCATTAAGAAAATGAATATGTGCTAGCTATTAAGAAAACAGTGGTGAAACTGTGGTCGGATGTAAAATAAATGAAAGAAACAAAACAAAACAGAAAACAGTAGTGAACAAAATGTTCTAGTGAGACTTATGCTTTAGTGAACAGAGACATACACACACACACACACACACACACACACACACACACACACACACACACATATGTGTGGTTATTATTTTTTAACTAATTTATTTGTTTTACATCCCGACTGCAGTTTCCCTTCCTTTTCTCCTCCCATTCCTTCCCCCTCTCCCCTCTACCTCCCCCACAACCCACTCCTCCTCTGTTCTGTTCAGAAAGGGGCAGGCCTTCCATTGGTATCAGCAAAGCATGTTGTATCAAGTTGCCATAAGACTAAGCCCCTCCCCTTGTATTTAGACTAGGCAAGGCAATCCAGTAAGAGGAATAGGTTCCCAAGAGCCTACATTAGGAATAGCCCCTGCTCCCATTGTTAGGAGCCTCACAAATAGACAAGCTACACAACTGTCACATATATGTTAGAGGGCTTAGGTAGGTCCCGTGCAGGCTCCCTGGTGTGTTGGTTCAGACTCTGTGAGTTTCTGTGAGCCAGGTTAGTTGTTTATACAGGTTTTCTTGTGATGTCCTTGACTCCTCTGGCTCATATAATCCTTCGTTTCTCTCTTCCCCAGGATTCCTTGAGCTTATCCTAATGTTTGGCTGTGGGTCTCTGTATCTGTTTCTTTCAGTTATTGGATAAAGGCTTCTGCTAACAATTGGGATAGTCATCAATCTGATCAAGGGGATTGGCCAGTTCAGGCTATGTATCCACTATTGCTAGGAGTCTTAGCTGGGGTCATCCTTGTAGATTTGTGGGAGTTTCCATTGTACCAGGTTTCTACCTGACCCCAAAATGACCCCCCACCTTTCCAGTCATCTCTTTCAATACTTTTGCCCTCCACCCATCCCCCAACCCAGTCCCTCAAGTTCCCATGCCCACTCACCCCCAATCCACCCAGGAGATCTCTTCTATTTCCACTTCCCAGGGAGATCTATGCATTCCCCTCTTGGGCCCTCCTTGTTACCTAGCCTCTCTGGGGCTGTGGATTGTAGGTTGGTTATCCTTTACTTTACTCCTAATATACACTTATGAGTATGGGTATATACCATGTTTGTCTTTCTGGGTCTGGATTACCTTACTCAGAATGATTTTTCCTAGTTCCATCCATTTGCCTGCATGATGGTCATTGTTTTTAACAGCTGAGTAATACTCCATTGTGTAACTGTACCACATTTTCCTTATCCATTCTTAGATTGAGGGACATCTAGGTTGTTTCCAGGTTCTGGCTGTTACAAATAAAGCTGCTATGAACATAGCTGAGCAAGTGTCTCTGGGGTAGGATGAAGCATCCTTTGGGTATATGCCCAAGATTGGTATAGCTGAGTTTTGAGGTAGATTGATTCCCAGTTTTCTGAGAAACTGCCATATTGATTTCCAAAGTGGCTGTACAGGTTTGCACTCCCACCAATAGTGGAGAAGTGTTCCCCTTGCTCCACATTCTCTCCAGCATGAGCTGTCACTGTGTTTTTGCTCTTAGCCATTCTGAGAGGTGTAAGATGGAATCTGATAGGCATTTTGATTTACATTTCCCTGATGGCTAAGGATGATGACCAATTCTTTAAGTGTATTTCGGCCATTTGAGATTCTTCTGCTGAGAAATCTCTGTTTAGGTCTGTACTACATTTTTAAATTGGATTATTATTATTATTTTTTTTGATGTCCAGTTTCTTGAGTTCATTATATGTTTTGTAAATCAGCCGTTTGTTGGATATAGGATGTGTTTTATAATTGTAAAGGAGGAAAAAAAATAGAACAAGATGGTGTGATAAAGTAACCTAGATGTGAGATTCTGAAGATAAGATTCCCTTCATTAGGATCATCAGCAGAGACTCACTTGAGCTGACATGTAAAAGTGAGTTTTATAATCAGTCAGCAATAGGATGAACTCAGAATGAACTGCATATCCACAGGCCATTGTGGAGGATTGTCGTATTGGGAGACCAAAGACAAGAGCCAGTGTGGGCAGGGGAGGGTGGTATGAGATGAAGCTAAAGAGGCAGATAGGGGCTAGATCCTTGAGGATGGAATGCATGTGGAAAGGAGTTTCAGCTTTATTTCAAGAGCTACCTGTTAGTGTGCTGTGCTCCTGTGTTCCTTTCAGCTGAATGCATCAGTATCCTCATGTGCACATTGCTTTGTATTATTAAAATTATGCAATCTGTTGTTTCATGTAAAACAAGAATAATGAGTTTAAAAGGAGAGTTGTCTATTTGAAAACTAAAGATTGTTTGAATATTGAGTGCTCTATTGAAAAATTAAATTGAAAAAACAGAATTGGCTTTTAAAAAATTGGTTTTTTTTTATAGTTATGGGTAAGTGAGCTAGAAAGATTGATGAAAGCCATAAAAATCTATGCATACTTTGTTCAGAGTGTTTTGTTAGTATCTTTATCTATCGTTCTCTTTTACATTATGTGAAACTCAAAATCATAGGGCATTTCATTCTGTTTATTATGAAAAACAGTATAGAAATTGTCTACAGAACTACATTCAAAGAAAAGGCTCTGGTTCTATCAAAAGATCAGGACTATGCATGTTTATCAGGGGTAGAGCATTTACCTAAAATGTGGAAGACCCTGGGTTCAATTCTCAGCACTATGAAAAACAAAGATTAAAATATTAAGGTATTGTTGTTGAGTTTTTCATCACCAGCAAAATACCCAAAACAATTTGCTTACAAGGAGGAGAGTTTCATTTTGGGTTTCAGAGTTTTCATGTGGCCATTTGGGCTTTTGCTGTCATGCCTTTGATGAGGCAGTACGTTATGGCTGTGGTCA